TCCGGTTTCTAATCTAACAGACCCCGTAAGCCTCAGTAGCATGCATTTGAGCTTCCTACCGCCTTGTAGAAGTTCACTGGTGAACCATACGTAATAAACGGAAAATTACCAATGCTAAATATGCAACAATCCTCAAATAAATTCACCCGAAATACCATCACCAGAGTAACACGGGTGGAAAATGCTCAATACCGAAGCATTGGAATTTGACTAGATCTCTTGAGAAATGACCATATAGGAAGCGAGAGTGAAATAGACTTTTTGGGGAGGTAGGACAGGGACGGCTTTTTAATCACCCCTCCCCGCCCCTTCCGGTGTTAACATGACAATGACACGCCCTGAAAGTCGCCTTTATTAGTGGAATTTTCGCGTTTATTAAAATTTTTTCATGATTATTTTTCGAGGGAGGGGGAGGGGCAGGGGTCAGAAGAGGAGGGGGGAGGATGAACCCTTCTCCCCCCCGCCCCCCTCGTTAAAGTATGTTAGTGTGAGCGTGTCAATGACAAGCCCTGAAAAGCGACGTATAAAGTGGAATTTTCGCGTTTAATTAACGTTTTTCGTGATTATTTTTAGAGGAGAGGGGGAGGGAAGAGGATGTACCTCCCTCCCCCCTGTCACCTCTCACAAGAATCCACATTGACGTTCTCTCAGAACAAACGCTACTTACTTTCATTTTGCCGCCCATTTTCGCGCATAACGCTACTTCAAGGAGGCGGCCATTCTTGACGGTTTTTATAGGGTGGGGTACTGCTAGGGGCCCCCTCCCCCCCACGAGGGGTTAGGCCGCATCTCGAATGAAACATGTATGCTCTATAATTTTAGGGACAAGCAATTTTACGAGATTACCAACCTTCTCCGCGTTATTGGCGAGAAATCGCGGCGAAACGGTCATTTTCGCGGTAATTTGAGATATTTTGACATTTTAAGCCCCCCCATTTTGGGGTTGCCGCGGGTCATGGCCAAAGTCAAACACAAATTTTCTAAAGCAAAATTTCACGAGCTTTCAGATTGGTTATGTGAAGTTTTGCCCTAAAATCAAGCTTTTTCGAGAAAAATGGGAAAATTCGCGGAAAAGTTGGAATTCTGAGCGATTTTGGGGGGCTTACTCCCCCCATCACTATAGAAATCGCGTAAACAAGAAAAATCTTATTCTCCTAGTCGAGAGCTTCAAGGAAATCACCACCTCCAAAATTCCCACGGGGGGGGGGGGGGTTACCCCTTGCTGGCCCACAGTCTATCAGTTTTTTTTTAAACATTTGCAAATTTTTGAGCTAACAGGGCCAAAATAATCAATTTTTACATATTTGTCATTATTTTTGGGTTTTTGGGCTTCATTGTTATTTGCATCACAGCACTGTTTATTATGTCTCCTTAAAATTTTGCTGACAAAATATTTAGGGAATCCATTAATTTTAGCAATACTCTGGATAATTGCCATTTCCTCTTGTCTGTGTTTATGGCTAAGCGGAATGGAAAACACTCTATGTGCCATTGCATGAATTGCAGCGTGTTTGTGGCTGATAGGGTTATTTGAATGGAAGGGAATTATACTATTTGTGGCTGTAGGCTTACGGAATATTTTGAATTGGATGAGGTTATCCTTGTCGATAATTACAGTAAGATCTATAAAATAAATTTGGTTATTTTTCATATGTTCAATGGTGAATTGAATGTGTTTAGAGGTGCTATTTAGGTACTTTAAGAATTGACATATGATACGGTCGGTCTCAACAAAAACAAAGATGGTATCTTCAACGTATCTGTAATATTTTTTGATGTTTTTAAAGAAAGGATTTTTGTCACTCATAACGTTCATTTCTTCAAAATTATTTAAGAACACTTGTGCAATGGTACCAAAAATTGGTAAGCCCATAGCGACACCATTTTCTGCTTGGAATGTTCTACCCTTATAAGTGAGATAGTTTTGATTAAGGATTTCTCTTGTCATCTCAACTAGCTCCTCCCTTTCATGAAGCTATTCAAATTTTAGACCAAAAAATTCAAGAATCTGGAAAAATATATGAACATGAAAGGGAAGAGCTTGTTGAGATGACAAGAGAAATCCTTCATCAAAACTATTTCAGAGAGATGTCCGCATCCGAAACTGAACCGGCCAAAAAAGTTGATACAATCATTGTCATTTGCTAAATATTTGTACTTAATTTTACAGGTTTACTTAATATTTCGACGATTACTGTAGAAAATGACAGGAAGGAGTGCAAATTTGCGATAAGTCGAAGCCAATTGTCACTGCAGAGGTGCCGGTAATCTTAGGGCGCCGAACATACAAGGTTTGCGCGCGACTGGTTAACTTTGAAAAATCATAACTCCCGTCCAAATCATTTCCCCGGGATGATCTTGAGCTTGTTTCAAAGCTTAGGCGGTCTACTTTCATAAAATAAATAGTTTTGTAATTTTTCGGGTGTTCCCTTCAACGCTGCGGCTCAAAATGTAAAAGATTGAAATTTTGAGCTACGGCAACGTTGCAACAATGGATGAAAATTTCCAACTGACCAAATTTCGTGAATACCGGCTAAAATCTGAGAATTTTCTCTAAATTTTGAGACCAAGACCATTTCTCTACGACAAACCGTTCACGAGATATGCCAGTTCAAAGTTTTAACTTTAACCCCCTCCCTCCCCCCTGATTATCCAAATTCAAAAATTCGTCAGTGTTTTGGACTTGGGAAATAGTCCTCTATCAACCTTGAAAATATTATAGAGATTTGGCTCAGGTTGGAAATGGCCGCACAGTACATTTTAAACACTTTTAATGCGGTCCACATACCACCCGCGATTTTTTTGCGGAAATGTCAACTAGAAGGCCTACTGATTGAGGAACAACAAACCGCGAAATCTGTAGTTTGTCCGTTCTTTAGAAAGTGCGATTTTTCGCTTTTTTGGCGGGAATTTCGGGGCAAGGCCTGAAAAAGTCAAGTTAGGCTGTTTTTGTGACTTGTAAATGCATATCCTATACAATTTTAGTCAATCAAGTGCCAGTAGATAGCTACTCGTGCATGTTGCCCAAAATTAATTTCCTTAAATCCACGACTTCCGAGTTTTGTGTNGGGGGGGGGGGGGGGGGGTGTTAGACAAGGAGAAATCCGATAAAAAGAGAGTTAGAGAGTTAACCGGGAACAAATTGCCTAACGAACTTCACCTATGTAAACGTCTTCAGTAGGTCTTATTGAACAACATACTAAAAGTTTACCACGGTTCGATCCCGGAACACCCCCCCTAATTGCCTAAATTTCAAAATGGCGGCCATAATAAGCCCTCTGGAGTTCGATTTCTTTCAAAATACGCGTACAGTGTCATGAGAGGTGTCAATTCCTATGCAATTTTGGTCGTAGAGGTTGTCCCATTTTTCATAGGAAATGGCTGCAAGAGCTTTTCCATCCATACTTTCAGGAATCATAACGCATCATCGTAGAGGCCTAAATCCGGTGTCATTTCTCGTCTAGCCCCCCGGGGGGAGAGAGGGGAGGGGGTCAAATGTCAAACGCTCCGACCGCCATAACTTTTGAGCGAATTATCGGGTCAACTTGATCTTGAGCTCAAATGAAAGCTCTTAACGACACCTTTCATTTGATTTATAGTAATATCCATTTTTGGTAATTTTTCAACGAAAAAAAAAATCATTTGTTGATTTTTCAAGCCCAAAAAATTCAGTTTTTTGGGGGTTTTCTCTAAAAGGGAACGCATGAATCATGACAAAAGCCAATTTAAATGAAAGCCCTTGATTCAAGCTTTATAACGAGCTATCATTGGACTTGGGGTAATAAATGGTTCAAAAGTTATGACCGTTCAAAGTTGGCGTGGCACGCTATTTTCGAAGCGCACGGAGTGTATACTCGCATGCCACCCTTCCCTACCTTTTCCTCTGGGGCCCGCTTCAGTTGATAACGGATACAGAAAGGTCCAAAGCTCCTCCCACCTAAAGAATGACCAATCATTAGTGAAAATTACTTTTATTTCTAACGAAAAAAGGGAAATAAAAATAAATTAAATGCTAATAGACGATAAGACGCTGGCATACATTATTTATTCGCCCCTCCTCCATGAATTAATATTTAATAGCCAAATCAAGCTTCTTTTACCGCAAAATACACTCAAAAGCTGTAGATAATATTCATAGGGTGTAGTACGCAACTAGCCGACCAGCACTTGAAACTCGCATGTACTACTGAATATCTCTCCCTTACCTCTCTCCGATATATTTCCCTCTCATCAAGATTTACCTGCACGGGAATAATCAGATACCGTAACGATGAGAGGCTTGATTTGGCTATCAAATATTAAATTATGGAGGGGGGGGGGTGAAAAAATAATGTATGCCAGCGTCTTATCGTTTATTAGCATTTAATTTATTCTTATTTCCCTTTTTTCGTTAGAAATAAAAGTAATTTTACACTAATAATTGGTCATTCTTTAGGTGGAAGGAGCTTTGGGCCTTTCTGTATCCGTTATCAACTGAAGCGGGCCCCAGGGGAAAAGGTAGGGAGGGATGGCACGCAAATATACACTCCGCGCGCTTCGAAAATAGCGCGCCACGCCAACTTTGAACGGTTATAACTTTTGAACCATTTATTTCCCCAAGTTCAACGATAGCTCGTTTTAAAGCTTGAATCAAGGGCTTTCATTTAAATTGGTTTTTGTAATGATTCATGCGTTTCCTTTAGTAGAAAACCCCGAAAAACTTAATTTTTTGGGCTTGAAAAATCAAACAATGATTTTTTACACATTGAAAAATACCAAAAACAGACATTATTATACATAAAATGAAAGGTCTAGTTGAGAGCTTTCATTTGAGCCCAAGATCAAGTTGATGTAAAAAGTGTTTAAAACGTACTGTGTTACCCTATAGGAAAAGTGGAAACCGTAAACCAACCAAAAGATCCGCTGAAAATTTCAAACGCGTTTTCCTACATACAAGGTTTTCCGACATAGGCCATTATTGGAGCTACCGCATAATATCTTTAAAACAGAAAACGACTTACAGCTTCATTCCACATTAAGTTGCTTAATATCTTGTAAAAGCCGACTTTCTCCTCTTCGGTTTTTCCCTCGGTAACGATTTTCCATGTATGAACTAGAAAAAAGAAAAGAAAAAAAATTAATAGGGTATCGATAGAATACAACTAGGAATATGCTCTAAGCTAAATGGACCACTATACAAAGTGCGAATTTAAAGTAGTATGAACATGAAGCTTTGAGCCCACCAGTTACCAGATTTTGCTAGAAAATTTAATTAATTGTGGGGCTTGCCAACACCGCATTTTACATGGATACCTGTCAGTACAAAAATATTCAATAATTGGTATGACTAAGCGACCATGCAGTCGTTGCGAAACGCCGAAACCTAACCAAATGTACCCTAAGAAGACCGTACTCCGTACTTTCAAAATCGGCACTCCATGACTCCATCCAGACTAGATTTTTTTTCTTTTTTTTTTCTTGATTATAGAAGGAATCAGCCTCCGTGATTTGGGCTATTACCAACTGTTCAATGAGAGAATGCACTGTGTAAAGAGGGTTAGTAACACTGCGCGATGCACGTTTGCACTACCCGGGAGACGTATTACACTCACGAACGAAAGCGCGAAAGTTCAGATGTTTCGAAAAGCTGATTGATTACTTACATGAGAGATTGGAGATCCATCACATTCCTTCTAGCGAGGCGGTAAGTGTTCGTGGAGGTATCTAACAATTTTACTGCAAGATGATTAGGATGATAGTTGAGGTTATCCACATATTTCATAACTTTGATAATGTCTGTGACATAGGGAATTGAAAACGTTCGATGTACAATTTCGGTGTGGACAAACCAAGGAGTGTTAGTAATTCTTCTGATATATTTGTTTTGAAAGGTTTGAATAACCTTTATGTTTGAAGGCGAGGCAGAACCCCAAAGTTGTGATGCATAGGACCAAATTGGACGAATGATGGTTTTGTAGACTTGAATCTTGCTCTGTATAGAAAGTTTAGAATATCTTGACATGAGCCAGGACAGTTTGTTGGCTGTGAGGTCAAGCTGGGTACGTTTTTTGCTGATGTGAGTTTTCCAGGTGAGTCTTCTATCCAAGTGTACACCCAGGTATTTGACTGAATCTTCTATCATGGGGAAAGTCCCATTAATGTTGATGGGGGGGGGGGGGGCAATTAAGTTTCCGTAGGGTAAAGGTGACTTGAACTGATTTAGTTTCTGTTAAGTTTAATAATTGCTGAAAACAGCTGTTTATAGAAATTGGAGTGGAGTAGAGAGGTTATGCTTTTTGTATGTCCTCTTGTATATCTTGGTGAATGATTTTTTTTTTTTTTTTTTTTTTTTTCTTTCTTCAAGTAGCCTATCGGCTAATCCCATTCAGTTCTACTTGCCTATCGTACCTTTGATTAGGTTCAATTCCTATCAACCTCCCTTAACAATCTACCATGTCCCCAATTTTCATTTTGATACACCCTCAATTTGAATAGCAAGTTCTTCTTGAATGCACCCAACCCCAACTCTTCTAATTTGTAACATTTAAATTTATTATACTCCCTCACTCCCTTGTAGAAAATCATTTTGTCCACCGAACCTTTTTCATGATATGACCATACTATATCCCCCAGTCTCGTTCCTTTAACATTTTCACTCTCCAACAATTCTTTTATACCTCTATCAACCCCTCTTATGTAACCCTTTTTTATTTTATAGATAAAGATAAACACTCTGTATTTAATAAACAATTCAACACATAACCACTCCAATTCATTTAGCATTACTCCAATATTTTCCTCCCTTCCCCTATTCAATATGTACCTCATAGCATTATTTTGCCCCAATTGCAACCTTTCAATTACCCCTTTCCCTGCCTCAAATAATATAGTTGTACAATGGTTTAGTAACGACCCCACTAGAGCATAGTACAGCAACTTCTTACCTTCAATTGTTAACGTATTCTTGACCCTCCACAGTAGACTTACTCTTTTTCTATATTCATTTGATACCTTTTCTACCTGTTTATCCCATTTTAAATCATCTGTAACCAACACCCCTAAATACTTATACATCTTAACTCTTTCAATTTTCTCCTCCCCTATTTTTATCAGCACCTCCATAGCCCTTTTCGCTTCATTGGAGCTGAACACAACGTATTTAGACTTACTTATATTTAGTTTAAGCTTGTTTACCTTTAACCATTCATCAACTCTTGTTAATTCCGCAGAAAGCTTACCTTGTAATTCTTCGGTGTCATACCCAGCCAAATAAATCAACGTGTCATCAGCAAACATACGCAATTTACACTCATCCAGAACCCCTTTTAAATCATTTATATAAACCAGAAACAAAATTGGACCTAATCTGCTACCTTGAGGTACCCCCAATTCCACACAAATTTCATCCGACAGTTTATCATCACAATTAACTACCTGCTTCCTATCACTTAGGTAATTTTTTAACCACTCAAGTGCTTTACCATTTATCCCAATATTCTCTAATTTTCTAACCAATATTGCCCTATCAATTGTCTCAAAAGCCCTCTTTAAGTCAAGAAAAACCCCCACTATTACTTTGTCTTTTTTATCCTCTTCCCTCCATTCTTTAAATAACATTTGTAACATATCCTCAGTTCCTCTCCCCTTCCTAAAACCCCTCTGCTCTTCAATTAGAATATTGTTGTTTTCAATATGTCCCACCAATTCCTTAATGACAGCCCCTTCTACGATTTTCTCCACTACTGGGAGTGAATTAATAGGTCGCATTTCTTCCACTTTAATAGTATTTTTGACTTTAGGTATAGGAGAGATAACTGCTTTTTTAAGTGCTTTAGGCATTATCCCCTCTTTGAATGATTTGTTTACTATTTCGGTTATAACAGTTGTAAGATGCTCTTTGTGTGCCTTTATTACCGTAGAACACACAGGAAAGTCCCCCACGCTATTTTTTAATTTACCTATAATGCCTTCTACTCTGCATTCTTCTACTACTCCGAAACTTGTTAATAATGTAAGCATTTCTCTTATGTTACCTCCCATCTCCCATTTTCTATTACAATTTACAGTCTTATTTATCTCATTTATACTTTCTACAAAATATTTATTTATTGCATTTGCCCCATCAATACCTGATAATTTTTTTTCCCCCACTTTTATCCTTTTATTATTCTCTCGCTCATTCTTCTTACTGCCCACCAATTCATTGAGCACACTCCAAACTTTCTTCCCATCCCGTCTGTATTCCCTTAATATTTTCCCTATGTATTCCCTTTTAATCCTTCTTGCCGCCGATGTGAATTTATTCCTGGCTTTCTTAAACTTGGTCCAGTCTTCCACCTTCCTTAGTTTAATGTATTCCAAATACCGTTCATCTCTATCCTTCCTTAGTGCTCCTCATTCCTCATTCCACCATCTTACTCTTCTTTTTACAACCCTCTTGTAAACATTAGATCCTGTCATCCTTAGCTCCTTATCAAATATTTCGTAAAGTTCATCTACTGTTTCATATTCAAATATTTTCCCACCAATGTCATCTACCTTTTTTCCCTCTACTGTTCTTACTTTAACATTATACCTAATTCTATTTACCTTTTTCGTATCACCTGTCATAGCTATGCTTACCCAGCTATGATCCCTAATCTTCGGCGTATGTTCCACCCAGCATCTTTCTACTAATTTTTTATTACCCCATTCAAAAGCAAGATCTATAATTGACTTACACTTATCAGTGATTCTGGTAAATTCTTTAACCATCTGATTTAAACCCCAATTTAGTTCTACTTGCTTAAGCCGTTTCGTACCCCATTCTTCCTGTTTATCCCATCTGATATTAAAGTCCCCTAACAGTACACCTTTCCCCCCAGCTTCAATTTTTTCCCCTATCCATTCATCAAGCCATTCTGTAAACTTTTTCTCGTTACTTGAAGGTGACCTATACAAACACCCCAAGTTACATATTTTTCCTCCCAATTTAACTTTGACATTAAGAATCCACCAGTCCCTATTTCTAACCACCTCCTCATGTAGCACTTCTATATTTTTATTTACAAATAATATTACTCCCCCAGTGTGTGCGCTATGTGAGTCACATCTAAACATTGTATATCCCTCAATCTTTATCTCCCCGTCTCTAGTTTTATCTGTGATGTGCGTTTCAACAACTCCTAGTATGTCAATTTTTTTTTCTTCAACTACCTTTTTTATTTCCCCCAATTTATCATAAAAACCCCCCGCGTTAATACACGTTATCATTATTGTATTATTCACCTTCCTATCACACTTAGTGTTCCCTTTAATTCCTTTAACAATATTATCGCTTAACACTCTTAACACTCTATCACCCCCCAGTGAGACTTTCCCCTTTTCTACACCTTCTGATATACCCTGCTTATTGTATCTCATAAATTTACCTTTGTTTACCTTTCCCCCCTCTTTCTTAGAATGTCCTTGTATTATTACCTCCCTGCTTAATGTACTAACCCTATCTAAAGAACTCCCCTTGATTCTATTTGACCCGCAATTCCATCTTATTTTATTCACTTTATTGTTATTGTTATTGTTATTGTTATTGTTATTGTTAGACCCCCAGTTTTTACTAAACTCCCAGCCAACTCTCTTCTGTTTTTGTCCATTACTTAACCAAAATTCCCCCTGTTAATCACACCATCTTCCCTAAGCTGACAGTAAATCGCCCCCACCACTTGATCAGTCCCCCTCCCATTCAAAGTACAGTAATCATTTTTAGTAATTTTGTAGTCATCAGATGTCAAACAATTTAAATTTAAATACACCCCCCTCTCCCTAACCATACATTTAGCAATCTCCCTGTTGACCCTGTCGATTTCTTTATTCACACAACTGTGTAACCAAAGAGCATGTCGGTGAGTTATACCCACATAGTAACATTGCACCCCCATCTTTTTGGCCTCAACCCTGAGATCATTGACGCCATCAACAACACATTGCCCCTCGTTTGAAAAAACATCCTTCCTACCAGCTGCAAAGATGACTATATCCCCTTCTTTAATCAACCCTCTATTATCCAACCAATACCTCCCCCAATCCTTCATTTTCGCCTCCTTGTTGCATTCGACTATCACATTAAGACCAAAC